TGGCAAAACGCATCCCACCGCAGTTGTGCAGACACCTGCGTTTCTGATGTAGTTCTGCTGTGAACTAGCCCTTTCAGCAGGGGTAGCCAAACTGCGGCCCTCCAGCTTTGGTGAAACTACAGGTCCCATTACGGCATTGCAAGTCTCTGACAGCCACAGGCATGGCCTACTGAAGCAGATGCATGATAGTATTTGTAGTTTCCCCACAGCTGGAGGGCCGCACTTTGGCTGCCCCCCCCCCCCAAAGAATGCATGGTGTTGTTCGATTGCAGACGGATCTGATGATGTCATCTGTCACTCCTCTCCAGCTCCCATTTGCTTTCCAGCCTTTGAAAACTACAGACTCTTGAGGGAGGCTACAAGCAACCATACCAACACTTATTGTGCAGGCATGGTTCACCGTTTGGATTTCTGTCCAGTGCAATGATGGGCAGACACTGGATAAGGTGCATGTAGACAGGAAGTGACTAAAAGAGGCTAGAGTAGGCTAGTAGCAACACTGAGACAACAAAAAAAGGATTAAAATGTGGTAAATGTTCCCAAAGTGTCCTTCTTTCCTTGTTCAAGTTTCAAAGCTGAGGGTATGCAATCTTTTTAGGGGGTCGCCTCAAGATCATGCCTAATAATAATTGCCCCTCCATTGCAAAAAAATTAGGTAAATGTTTTAATTGCACTTGCGTTTCTTTATTTCTTTTTTAATAGAAGCTTTTGGTGTTAAAGCGGCATGCTGCTTCTTTAATTAAACTGGAGTACTGCTTTCATTTGTTCCTTGTTTACATTGAGTGAGACCGAAAATATTTTCATTCTTCCTGATTTTTCAATCTAATGCATAATTAGGCTATTCTCATTTTTTTTTTCTTTTTTTTTATAAGGCATTCAGAACTTTGACTAATTGCTGAAGTTGGAATGCTTCCTGCTTATGCACAGGTTGCAATTATTGACTTTTAAATATTAAAATGGCTGCTTATTTTTTTTTTTTTTAATCCACAATTCATATTCTTGAGGGTGTTAAATATTCAAGAGAACGCAGTTAATTCGCGGCTATTAGCATTCATTCGCAGCTGTTTATTTTGGTGTTTGGGGTTTTGCTGCCAAGGGGGGTAAATCACTTAGAATACATTCTTTTGTTGGGGAAAAACGCTTTGGATAATTTAGCACTAAAATCAAGAGCTAATTTAGCACTCGCAGCTATTGTTGTGGGAATAGGCCTAACTGTGTACTAACAGGATTGGAACAAATATATTTATTTTCCTACTAATTTGATGTTCTGATTCACAGCCTGGGTGAAAATCTTCCTTATTTAGAAATAGTTGTCCTTTGAAACAATACTTCCTGCCAACATATGACAGTCCTGCCAACATATGACAGTCCTGCCAACATATGACAGTCCTGCCAACATATGACAGTCCTGCCAACATATGACAGTCCTGCCAACATATGACAGTCCTGCCAACATATGACAGTCCTGCCAACATATGACACTTCTATGTACCTGAGCAGCTATTTAGCAAGCAGCTGTCACATGGGAGGAAGGAGAGTGTGATGCATGCTTCATACCTAGTATGAAGCATTAGTAGGATAGTATGCTCCAGCGCTGCAATCCTCATCCTTGGCTCCATTTGCTACTCCTCTTCCAGGCTGAATGAAGCCCAGTGTCATTCAGTCCACTTTCTATCATGCCAGGGTGTCAAGGACAATACCTCAGTGGCTGCATCATCAGGAAGGCCTGGGCTCACAGGGGAACGATGCAGAGAATAGCACCCATGTTAGTACACGAGTACTCTTCAGTGAACTTAAGAGGACTGCTCACTGGCCTTGCTGGAAGCGCCACAACATAATGTGAGCAAACCAAAGACAATGCCAAAAAAGGTATAGGAGGAATGCCGGGGATGTTCCAGTGAGTAGTCTACCCAACTGGGAGTTGGGCTTCAAGCTATTGGACATCAGTGTAATTGCAGCCCACGTGGCTGTTATGGGACCCTGAGGTGGAAGGGGGCCCCGTCGGGCAGTTGTAGCACATTAAACATAGAAAATCTGTTTGCATGTAAAAATATCACTATTGTATTATTAAGGATTGTAGAGGTTGCTGTTGGCACTGACTCTGTATCCTCCTTCTGACATTTCCAATTAAGATATGCCGTCATCAGACACACTGGAGAAGACTTCAGAATTGCTGTCACTAGTCACACATTCCCCTTTGCATGCTGTGAAGTAAGGGAAATTTGTTTGGCTGTCTTAGTAGAGTAGATATATTGCACGCAAAGCTTCTGGTCATCACAGCCAGCACTGAAATTAACCCTGTGTGCCTAATGCAGCCTTCCTCGGGCTGTAAACAATCCCATAGTGTCTGCTTGGATAAAGAAAAAAAAAAAGTTGATATTGGGGGTTATAGACTGGATGGGGTAGGAAGGCTTTGAATTTGCACTGAGGCCCCAAGATGCTGAAAGACTGGTGAGCTACGGAGGACAGTAACTAGAAAATCAAGGTGAAAAGTTAACTGCATGCAATGTT